GGCGCACCAGGCACACACAAGGTGCATACATATACATACATGCAGGCAAAACACTTATACACATACAATTTTTAAAAATCTAAAACAAATACTTAAATAAAAAAGAAATGGAGTGTGGCGCGCATGGTCTTCTGACCTCAGACGGGAGGTAAAGTTGGCTTGGTTAGTACCGGGATGGAAGAAATGGAGTAGGGAGAATGAAAAGGAGGAGGGTTTGATCCCCGGAACCCACATGATGGGAGGGAAAACTGACTGTGGTGAGTTGTCTTCTGACTTCCACAGTGCTGTGTGGCATGCACACACCCACACACTAACAAATAAATAAATGCCATTTTTAAAAAACAATTAAAAAGAGACAAGAAGCTGGGCGGTGCTCAGGCACACCTTTAACCCCAGTACTCGGGAGGCAGAGGCAGGCAGAGCTCAGATTTGAGGCCAGCCTGTCTACAGAGTGAGCTCCAGGACAACTCTGTCTTGAAAGAAACAAGGGAAAACCAGAAATGAGAAATGAAGAGGTGTACAGACAGACTTCATGAAGTGCACAGACAGATTCCATGAGGCTCACAGGGCACAGCCTTCAAGTCCTCAGTGAGGCCCTTCTCATTGAAGGTCATCTGGAGAGCCACCACTTCCACACAGCCCTCACCTGGACACCACTTACACACACAGCCCTCCATGCCCAATCCCCAAGCCTGAATTAGAATTCTGCAGCGACCGTCTCAAAATTATTAATAACATTTATACTTTTATTTTGTGATTGGATCTTGCTATGCATGCCTGGTTGGCTTTGAACTCACAATGATACTTCTGTCTCAGCTTGGGAATGCTGGGCTTATAGTGTGTACCACCACTCCTGACTTACACTTTTTTTTAAGGAATTTTAAATTAATTTATTTTATGTACATTGGTGTTTTCCATTGGTGTCAGGTCCCTTGGAACTGGATTTACAGATGATTACATGTGAGCTGCCATGTGGGTGCTGGGAATTGAACCCGGAGCTTCTGGAAGAGCAGCCCTCACCATGACTTCTGATCCTCCTGCCTTCACGTCCCCAGTGTTGAGATTACAAGTGCATGCCCCTCTATCCAATTTATTTGACAGTAGGGATGGAACCCGAGACTTCATGCCTGCTGGGCAACTGAGGCACACCCCCAGCCTGCCTTCACCAACAACTGAGCCGCTTCTCCAGCCTGCCTCCATCAAATTACGCCAAAACACACACACAATGAAACTTGCAATTTTACTTCCCCAGTAAACAGTATGTCATTTGCTAAACCAGAGCTCTACACGGAATCACGCCATCAGCTCCCAGTTCAGCTCCTCATATGTGCTTGTTAGTGGCATTCAGTCCTTTGCTCTGTTGTGAGACCATCAGTAACCCTACACTTCTATCAGCCTTCCAGGCTGACATCCTGAGATAATTCCTTGTTCTGTTTCCCCTGCCTGGCAGCCACCATTCTACGTTCTGTCTCTACAGATCTAACTATTCTAGGGTTTCATTCTAGTGGAATCCTGCAACAGCTGTCCGTCTTGTTTTATTTTGTGACAGAGTCTCCTGTATCCCAGGCTGGCCTCAAACTCACCATGTAGTCGATGATAGCCTTGAACTTCTGGTCCTCCTGAGTGGCTGGATCGCAGGTGCCCAGAACGAACCCAGGGCTTCCTGCTTGCTAGGCAAGGACTCTACCAACTGCACCATGCCCCCAGGGGCTGTCCTTCGGTCTTGGCTTCCTGTGTGTATCAGAAGGTCTTTCGCTTTTTAGGCTGGGGACCAGTGACCTGTATGCATACCTAACGTCATTTCCCTACCCTCCACCCAGGGCTTGGGTTGTGTGCATCTTGTGTAAATCTGCATACAGTCAGGGCTGCTGTGCACATGGGGGCATGTATGGATATCATTGTTTATAGTGAGAGGCTCCTGGCGTTCACGGTGTATCATATCATTGGTCCAGAGCAGGAACCTTCCAAGGGTGGAGTCTTCCATTCTCAGCAACCTTCAGGAATCTTGGCAAGTGATTGGATGGGACCAGGTCTCTCTCTCTTGCCACTTGATGCATGACAGCAACAAGAAACCCTTAACCATCCAGCTAGTAGCCTTTCCCTATTTACCTTTAAGGCCTTCTCTGGTAAAGATTTCGAAGTAGCCCTTTCACTGGGCCCAGGTGTGGAGAAATAGCTAGATTTGTCCAAAACAGCATTTGTAGCCAGGTGGTGGTGGCACACGCCTTTAATCCCAACACTCAAAAGGCAGAGGCCGAGGCAGGTAGATCTCTGTGAGTTTGAGGCCAGCATGGCCTACAGAGTGAGTTTCAGGACAGCTATGACTGTTTCACAGAGAACCTCTGTCTCAAAGAAAAAAGAAAATAAAGATTTGCACACGCTATTAATCCCAGCACTTGGGAGGGAGAGAAAGGCAGAGTTCATGGCCTGATTGGTCTTTATAGCAAGTTCCAGGACAGCCAGGGCTATACAGAAAAACTCTGTCTCAAAAAAAATTTTTTTTAATTTCTGCTGACATAGAACTTAATTGCATCATTCATCTCTTAAAGATGACTAGAGGCTTCCTAGCAAATGTGTCTATTTCCAATACAAGATATAGGCTAAGACCTCACAGGACCTGGTTAGGAGCCCCTGGGTCAGAGGAGTGGGTAGTGTATAAAAATCTGTGATTGTTTCCCTCATTACTTGAGACCAGCACTGAGGCACACGGCTTAGAATCATGGGAGATTCTGCTCCTTGGCAGAGAAGACAGTTTAAACATGTCTAAATTGGTTCAATGTGATGACTCTGTGACTTTTCTTTTCTTTCTTTTTTTTTTTTTTTTTTTGTGGCAGGAAAAGCTCAGAGGGAGGAGTCCCAGGATTCTGGAGATGCACACATGCAAGGCGAGCTGTATGCAAACATCTATGAAACTCAGACAGGTCAGGGGCCTGGCTGGCTGTTTGGATGAGTGTGGTTGGTTGGTTTGGGGGTGACTGTACACATATATATGCATAATATGTATTTGGTATGGCTCTGGAACTTGAACCCAAGGTGTCACACATGCTAGACAAGTATTCTACACATGCTGGTTATTTCAAAAATTGCTTTTTAAAAGATTCTCCAGAGGCATGGGTAAAGGAGGTTCTGTCCTGCTTGGTCCCCTAGCCATTCAGTCCCAATAAACACACAGAGGCTTCTAATAATTATAAACTGTTTGGCCAATGGCTCAGGCTTCTTATTGGCTAGTTCTCTACCAATTATTAACCCATTTCTATTAAACTATGCATTGCCAGGTGGCTGTGGCTTACCTGTAACACTCCGGCATGTTACTCCTTCGGCAGCTACATGGTATCCTCCTAGTCTGGTAGCCCTGCCTATACTTCCTGTCTGGCTACTGGCCAATCAGCTTTTAATCATCAACCAATAAGAGGAACATATATATATTCACAGCACACAGGAGGACATCCCCATCACATGGGTTTAAAAGAAAAAAAGGAAGCAACATCACAGAGTATCCTGTCTCCCTCCCACCTCTGCCCTCTAGCTCCCATTTACTCTCCAGATAAGGCATGCTAGCCTTTACATATTTTCTTTTTCTTTTTTTTTTTCTGAGACAGGGTCTCTCTGTGGCTTTGGAGGCTGTCCTGGAACTTGCTCTTGTAGACCAGACTGGTCTCGAACTCACAGAGATCTGACTGCCTCTGCCTCCCAAGTGCTGGGATTAAAGGCGTGTGCCACCACCGCCCAGCCTGCCTTTACATATTTTCAAGATGACTTTATATTAATTTGGGATAATCCATGTTGTATCCCAAAATCTTTCATTATCATATTTTCTTGTTCATTTTTACAAAACAGGGTTTCTTCGTGTAGCTCTGGCTGTTCTGGGACTTGCTCTTGTAGACCAGGCTGGCCTCAAACTCACAGAGATCTGCCTGCCTCTGCCTCACGAGTGCTGGGATTAAAGGCGTGCGCCACCATCCCCCGGCCTTGTTCACTTGTTTTTTATCTAGTCTAGGCTGGCTTTGAACTCACTAAATAGCCCAGGAAGACCCCAAACTCATCATAGTCCTCCTGCTTCATTCTCCCAAGTCCTGGGATTACAAATGTAACTTAATCTGTGTGTCATCACTGCCCGGAGGCCTTGATAACCTTTTCTATAGCTATCTGAGTATGCATGCCACAGAAGCAAACACATCTCATTTTTGTTTGCTTGCTTATTTGCTTTTTGCAATGCTTGGGATCAAACCCAGGGCCAGTCAAGTGCTAGAGTAAGTGAGAAAGCACAAAACTACTCCCTTAGCAGTTTTTAAGATCGTAGCATTTAGTGATTAGCTAGAGTCATCATACCATACAATATTTAGCCACTTATCAAATCAGACACTGCATGTTAGATGCTTCATGGTGGAAGGGCCTAACTAAGGGGCTCTGTCCCAGCCAGCTCAACAGAGCCCCAGCCACACTCTGAGTACTGTGCAAGCCCTGACACACCAGCTTCCAATTTCTGCCATTCCCATCTTGCCAAGCAGGAGCCTGGATCAGACTTGGAGTGACAGCAACACATTTCCACATCCCTAAAGGGAGAGTGTTCTCTCTAGGCCCCGGGCCTCTACCCCGGCATGGTCAGAGGGTTCTAGAATTGGCCCAGTAACACGATGCATTGTTTTTGTTTTTGCCCAGAAGCTAGACAACCCCAGGAGCTACACTATGCCACTCCGGTCTTCAAGGAAGTGGCACCCAGGGAACAAGGTGAGTCATGGTGGGGACAAGAGATGCTGCTGTTATGAGACAAGAGTCCCTGTGACATCACTGTGAGCAGGGGCTTTGTATCTAAGGATGGGGCGTGGGGACCCCAGGTTCTCAGCAAGTCAACAGTAACTAACCACAGCTCCCACAGATGTGTCAGGTGAGAGGAGGAGAAGACAAGGTAGGGACAGTCCTCGAAATCCATCCCAGGCAGGCTGGAGAGGTAGCTTGGCATTTACAAGCATGTGCTTCCAGAGGACCTGCGTCTACTTCCCACACTCAAGGCAGGCATCTCACAACTCCCTGTAACTTCAGCACGTGGCCTCCAAGGGCACCTGTGCCCACACATACACCCCCCCCCACACACACACAATTAAAATAAGAATGAAAAAAGCCATCAAGAAACTCTCAAGAAGAGGATTTAGGGTCAGTTCTAAAACACTTGGGGCCTGGGGAGACCGCTCTCGAGCTAGGAGTACTTCCTGCCTCACTTACATGAGGACCTGAGTTTGGATCCCCAGCTTTTGTGCAAAAAGGTCCGGCCTGTGACCCTGTGCTGAGATGAGGGGAATGCTGGACTCGCCGGCAGTCTGAGGACAATTTGGCAGTTCTCCCTGTCCTCCCTGAGGGGTCCTGGGATAGAACTAAGGTCATCAAGCTTGGTGGCAAGTGCACTCCTGAAATGGGGATTCCTTTTAGATTTTGTCTGAACTCTAGCTTGAGGATGCTGAGTTCCTTTCCTTTTTCGATTTCAGAGGGCTGTGTGGGTAAGAACCCCGATTACATCTACTCAGAACTCACGCGCTGAAGTGTGAAGGAACTGACTGCATCCAGTGTAAAAGACTCCAGTAAGCGCGTGTGTCTAGACAGACAGCAAATTCACCAGGCGCTTCCAACTCTCACCCTAGGTTGGGGCAGGAGGATCCTGAATTCAAGGCTGGCTGGGACTACAAAGCAAGACCCGGTCTTAAAACACAAAACCAAAAATATTTAACCTGGTAGCCTAAAGTGAATTTGTATTTCTCACATCTGAATACTCCTTTGGCTAATTTGGGTATCTAGTCTTGTCAAAGTAGCCAGGCTTGATAATATTTATAAAGTGTTTGGTTTTGTGGGCATCCATCATTCTCACTTTTCAATGCCATTTTAAAAGGAATTATCTTGGGGCTGAAGAGGTGGCTCCACAGTTAAGAGCACATACTGCTCTTTAAGGGACAACAGTTTGATTCCCAGTATACAATAACTTTCTTTCCAGAGAATACATCACCCTCTTCTGGCATCTGCAGGCACTGCACTCATGTACACAGACACACACCTCAACACTTTGGTCCCAGCACTCAGGAGGCAGAGGCAGGCAGATCTCTGTGAGTTTGAGACCAGCCTGGTCTACAAGAGCTAGTTCTAGGCTAGCCTCCAAAGCCACAAAGAAACCGTGTTTCGAAAAACCAACCAACCAACCAAACAAAAAACCAACAACAACAAAAAAACCCAAACCCAAAAAACAACAACAAAAAAAACCCCAAACCAAAAGCACAAAACCAAATAAATAAATAAGGCCAAGCTGGGTGGTGGTGACACACGCCTTTAACCCCAGCACCTGGGAGGCAGAAGCAGGTGAATCTCTGTGAGTTCAAGGCAAGCCTGGTCTACAAAGTGAGATCCACAACAGCCAGGACTGTTACATAAAGAAACCCTGTCTCAAAAAAAAAAAAAAAAAAAAAAATGGGGCTGGAGAGATGGCTCAGCGGTTAAGAGCACTGACTGTTCTTCCAGAGGTCCTGAGTTCAATTCCCAGCAACCACATGGTGGCTCACAACCACCTTGAATGAGATTTGGTGCTCTCTGCTGGTGTGCAGGCCCAAGACTGTATACATAATAAATAAAATCTCCTGACTGCTCGCTCTTCCAGAGGTCCTGAGTTCAATTCCCAGCAAACACATGGTATCTCACAACCATCCGTTATGAGAGATCTGGTGCCCTCTTCTGGTGTGCAGATATACATGGAAGCAGAATGTTGTATACATAATAAATAAAAACTTTAAAAAAAAAGACTTTGCTTTAAAAAAAAAAAGTTACAACCGTACAGCCATACCACCCCGAACATGCACAATCTTATCTAAAAATAATGAAATATTAAAATGTTAAATCCTAGGCAACAGTGCTGTTTGTGAGTGGATGGTGAAGGCATTATAATGACCGTCTTTCACATTCCTGTCCCCATGCCTGCCAAAGGCTCAAACACAGAAACACAAAGCATGGCCAGGTGTGGTGGCGCACGTCTTTAATCCCAGCACTCAGGAGACAGAGGCAGGTGGATTTCTGTGAGTTCCAAGACAGCCTGATTTACATAGTGAGTTCCAGGACAGCCAGGGCTACAAGTGAGACCCTGTCTCAAAAAAAAAAAAAAAAAAAACAGAAAGAAAGAGGAAAAAAACACAGCAAACCAAAAACAAATAGAAAGCTACAAATAAATACCACCACAAAGCATAATCTATGTCTAAACACAGGATACCTTGAAAATGGGCCTGAGGGGCTGGGGAAGATGGCTCACTGGGAAAGAGCCATACTCCTGTGTCAGGTCCCCAGCACCCATGTGAACAGTGGATGTGGCTACATACACCTGCAAACCCTGCAGTATAGGAGAGCAGACCTCTGTGTGTGTGTGTGTGTGTGTGTGTGTGTGTGTGTGTGTGTGTATGATTAGAAGGCTGCAAAAACTTAGTATTGGTGTTAAAGAGATGGCTCCATGGTTAAAAGTCCACACTGCTTTGGTGGAAGACATTGGGTGGCTCCTATGCCCAAGTCAGGCAGCTCACAATTGCCTGTAACCTTGATTCCAGGGCATGTGACTCCCTCTGGACTCTTTAGGCACCTGCACTCATGTGTGCATATACCCTCACACAGATACCCACATATGCCTAATTAAAAAGAAAACAAATCTTGTTAACATTGATCCTCTTTCTTTTCTTTTTATAATATTTTCTCTGAATCATATTGTAACATTTTATAATATGTATATGAGTGACCTGTCTTTGCACACCAGAAGAGGGAATCGGATCCCATTACAGATGGTTGTGAGCCACCATGTGATTGCTGGGAATTGAACCTGAGTTCCTGGAAGAGGAGTCAGTGCTCTTAACTGCTGAGGCATCTCTCCAGCCCCCCCCCTTTTTTTCTTTTTAATTTGTTTTTCAAGACAGGGTTTCTCTGTGTAGCCCTGGCTGCCCTGGACTCACTCTGTAGACCAGGTTGGCCAAACCCAGAAATCCACCTGTCTCTGCCTCCTGTACTGGGATTTAAGGTGTGTGCCACCACCACCTGGCTAATATTGATTTTCGTTGTAACACCAACACACTAAAGTATCTTCCTCATGCACCAAGCTTGCAGGGTGTTACAGGTACAAGGGGAGGAAGGGGGATGCTGACTCAGCAAGAGTAGGAAATCAGCTTTGTCTATTCAGAGGGGTCAAGGGACTTAATGCTCAGGTCAGCCAGGTGGTGGTGAGCATGCCTAAATCCTCGGGAGGCAGAAGCAGGCAATCTCTGTGAGTTTGATGCCAGTCTAGTATACAGAATGAATTCCGTGAATTCCAGGACAGGCTCCAGAGTTATGCAGAGAAACCCTGTCTCAAAAAAAAAAAAAGAAGAAGAAGAAGAAGAAGAAGAAGAAGAAGAAGAAGAAGAAGAAGAAGAAGAATGCTCAGGTCTCAGATGCACACATCCTTCCCTGCCAGGTGTGCCTTCCTGTCTTTTAGTTTCTGCACCATGCTTTGATGACATCCCAGGCTTGGTTCTTCCTACAGCCTCCCATCTGGCCAGAGAAGTGGGGATGTCTGTAAACAGAGCTGAGGTGGCCTCTGGCTTTCCCAGCTTGCCCTGAATAGCCTTTCCTTTTCTCCTGGCAAAGCTTCTAATGCAGATAACAGAGGCCAAGCAAGTCTACAACTGGAATGATTACCCCTGCTTTAAGTCTTCCAGGTGATGGAACCAACGAGTTGCCTAGTGTTTCACTCTCCCCCATGGGGGAGCCTTTGTACCTGTGAAGCCAACACATGACAAGTGTCTTCACTGCCCACTGGGCACTGGGTATTGAGTCTCTGTTGCTTTCACTCCACAGGAGCAATCCCATTCTCCAAGGATGTATTCTAGAGCTTTCTGCCCTGTCTTACCCTGGGTTAGATCTGAAAGTAGAGCTGCGATACCAGCTTCTGTGTTGACTACACACACTGGAGGTGGCCCCAGAGAGCAAGCATGAGGAAAGGCCAGTACAAAACTGAGCCTTAGCGCTGTCCTCGAGCTGTGGCAGTTGGGGCTTGATCCCACTGGAACTGTCTAAACCACAAAAGAGCCTCTTCTGATGGTGGATGACCTTCTGTATATGTTTCTCTTATTGGTTGATAAATAAAACACTGTTTGGCCAATAGCCAGGCAGGAAGCATAGGCCAGGCGACCAAACCAAGAGAATGCTGGGGTGAGGAAGGCAGAGGGAGGCCTCGGAAAGAGACACCATGTAGAAACCAGTTAGGTAGGATGCTCTAGGCGTTCTCTGGTAAGATAAGGCCATGTAGAATACATAGATTAGCAGTTATGGGTTAATAATGAAGACAGAGCTAGCCAATAAGAAGCCCTAGCCGTCAGCCAACAGTTTAATAATTAATATAGCATCTGTGTGCTGATTTGAGGCTGAAGGGCAGCAGGACCTGGAAGAACAGAAACCTCCATCTTCACTCTTCTTCAGCTGGGTGTGGTGATACACACCTGTCATAGGGCTAGGGCTAGGGATCATGAGTTCAAGGTTCTCCTCAGCCACAAAGTGAGTTTGAGGACAGCTGGTCTAAAAATGTCAGAAGGCTAGAGGATCCTGGGCATATGAATTTCTGCCCCCAGGGGTGAGGATGATCTGGCTGCCTAGGCAGGAGGAGCTTTCCTTCTTCACCATCCCATGTGTGTCCCTCCCAGAGCTGCATGCTCGGTCAAAGGCAACCTTTCCTGATAGAGCAGGTCCAATCTTCGTCAAAGATGCATGGGGAGCTATACTCCTGCTAGAAGCTCCAAACAAGGGCTCAAGGAATTTCTGTTGCTGGTCTTGGTAGTCCATGACTTTAATCCTAATACTAATAAGGCAGAGGCAGGTAGATCCCTGTGAACTGAGGTCCAGCCTGGTTTACCTAGCAAGTTCCAGGCCAGTCTAGTCTACACAGTGAGTCCCCAGCTCAGCAATGAAAGAGGTTCTGTCCCTGTGGATTTGAGGTATACCTAGCACATGGACACATCCACCAGGCTTCATGGCCTTCAGTCTGGGACAGCTGCTCATCCTTTCCTTGTCTTTGACACACTCAGAGATAATAGACCAATTATGTCTTAATGTCCCCAATGTTGAGTGTTACCAATGTAACCCATGATTAAGACTCAGAATGAAGAAACAAATAAAAAGGGCCCAGTGTGCATTTGAGATAAGAGTATCAGAGTGTGCCTGGCTCTGGCAGCATCCTGGCAAGCAGTGAGGAATTTCAGTCGCTCCCACACCTGGTGATCACTCAGATCACTTCATTGAAGTGGTATCTGCCAGAATTCCCTAAATTAACTAGTATTTTGTGGCTAGGAACTCTGAATTGAAACCTGAGACTTGGTCCTCTCCTTCCATCTTTATTTGGGTTCCGGGGATTGAATCAGAGGCCCTCAGGCTTGTGAGGCAAGCTCTTTACCCACTGAGCCATCATCAGTTTGGAGTATGGCATCATGTATATCTTTTTATCATTTCCATCTCTGTGGAATCAAGGATCCCTATTTCATTGATAAGTTATAATCC